AAGCAGACGATGATCCAAACGAGAAGGCAGGCACAGCCCATTGACGTAGACGACGCTCTCCGTCAGCGCTGCACGTCCACAAGCAACAAGTTGGCCACGTCCCCCAGCTGCGCTGGTCCTTCTGGAGCCGCTGGACAGAGCCAGGACCTGGGTAGGGCGGGAGGAAGGAGACCTGAATCTGAGGGAAAGTCCGGCGAGGGGGCTGGGGGGAAGGCAGGGAGGTCCCAGGCGCAGGGAGCGGGGTGGGGTCTGGGTCTAAGACTGATCCTGGCTGATTGAGGCAGATTTCTTCAGCACCTGAGCCTCCGTTCACTCATCTCTAACGTGAACCAATAAAAATCCCTAAGCCAACCTCCTAGGGCAGTGATGGCGAAACCTCTTGAGCTCGGCGTGTCAGCATTTTGAAAAACCCTAACTTAACTCTGGTGCCGTGTCACATATAGAAATTTTTTGATCTTTGCAACCATAGTAAAACAAAGACTTATATTTTTGATATTTATTTTATATATTTAAATGCCATTGAACAAAGAAAATTCAACCAAAAAAATGAGTTCGCGTGTCACCTCTGACACACGTGTCATAGGTTCGCCATCACTGCCCTAGGGCCTTTGTGAGAATCCAGGGAGATGACAAAGAGGAAAATACTCTGAAATCCCTAAAGCGTTGGAGCCATGATAGTCTACCACAAAATACATGAAAACCTTGGATTTGTGACGGCAGTGGTGGCCATTCGCTGAGTGCTAACCACGTCGCAGGCACTGTGTTCAATACAGTGTCACCATTTTCTGTGATGAACACATCACACAACTGCATGGGGCGGGTTCTGCCGTATTTCAGTTTCAAATGCCATGAATAAAACCCTCTCTATTTGTGTATCATTAAGCAAAAAAAAAAAAAATCAATGCCAATTAAATTAAGACGTAAGGCATCTTGATTTCAGAAGTATTTAAAAAAAAGTGAGACTAGAATCAAAGACATACAGAATTACTAACCCCATTTTACAGCTTAGGAAACTGAGGCACAGAGAAATTGACCAACTTGCCCAAAGTCGGAGAGCTTGTAAGTGACTAGGCTAGGAATTGAATCCAGGATGAGCAAGTTATGACCCGGGCTCAACAGGCATGTAACGTGCCTCTCAAATACCAACCTGGGTCTCTGGCAGCCGGGAAATTCGCCCTCACCCTGGGGCCACAGCAGACCCCTTCCTGCCTGTTGAATGCTCAGTGTTACTTGCAACCCTCTGTCTGCTGAGCGTATGAGGAAAGAAGTGAGGGGGTGAAGGAATAAACTGGGAATGACTGAGGGTAGAAATTCTCCCCAAAGTCTTTGAACCGTTATTGAGCACCTACTCCGTGCCTCACACTGAGCCGAGTACTGAGAATGTAGCTGTGGACAACGGAGGGAATGGGGCTGGCTCCCCTGGAAGTGGAGTTTGAGCTGGGGAACAAGATTAAGTCAAGACTTCCATGGCTCTTTCCTTCATGGCGGTTATGACTAGTGCCCGGAAGAAGTGTTTTAAATCCAGGTTTTATTATTCAGGGAATGCAAGGCCCACACATCAGGAGACGACTGTCATGGACAAGATAGTTTTGATACTCCTAGATCTCAAGAGGAGAGGGTGCGCCATCCTGGGAGGGGCCCCTCAGGGAAGCACCAGGTTGGGTGGAGGGAGGCGGGCAGAAGCCTGTACTGTGGTTTTCACAGGAAGGAAGGCCAGGCAGGGCAAGCAGGCTGAGGGCTGGCTTCCTTCAACAATCCCAGCAGGCTCTGGGGGGCGTGGGATCCCTGCCTAGTTGTCTGGTCCTGGAGTGAATGGGGTAGGGTGTGTGTGTGTGTGTGTGGAGACAGTGTCCCAGAAAGTGAGAGCCCCATCCATGGGGGTTGGGGGATGGGCTCTGGGTTCAGTGGTTTGCATATTAAATGTGTGCTCTCTGGTGAGTCATTGACTTTCTCTAGGAATTGGCAGTCCCTCCAGGATCAATAAAGCCCCAGATGTCAAAACACTAGATGTAGCCCTGGCAGGTAGGAGTGTGGTTAGAACATCAGCCTTGCATCTAAGGCAGTGGTTCTCAACCTTCTGGCCCTTTAAATACAGTTCCTCCTGTTGTGACCCAACCATAAAATTATTTTCATTGCTACTTCATAACTGTAATGTTGCTACTGTTATGAATCGTAATGTCAATATCTGATATGCAGGATGGTCTTAGGCGACCCCTGTGAAAGGGTCGTTCGACCGCCAAAGGGGTCGTGACCCACAGGTTGAGAACCACTGATCTAAGGGTTCCATTCCAGTCAAGGGCAGGTCGATCCCTGATCTTGGTCGGGGTGAGTGCAGGAGGCAACCAATTGATGTGTCTCTCTCATATCTATGTTTCTTTCTCTCTCTCCTTCTCCCCTTTCTCCCTCCCTTCCACTCTCTCTAAAAATCAATGGGAAAAATGTCCTCAGGTGAGGAGTAACAAAAAACAAAGGACAAAACAAAACACCAGCTGCGGAAAATAAGATGACACAGTTCCTAGAGCAGTCCAGAGAGGAGGGTGAGGGGTCTGGCCTCGCCCTGAGATGAAGAAGGCCTTCCTCGCTCGGGGTGGGGAGTGGGAAGGGCAATGCCCTTGGTCTTTTTCCAATCCACCTCACTCAACACGTGGACTCACAGGACCGGCCCGGCCCCACGTGCCCAGCTCCCATGTGCTCAGGGGACATGGGTCTGAAACACAGCAGCAGGGCAGCAGCAGGAGCCACCCTTGTGGCCACCGAGGACCTGTTCCCTTTACCCGCCTCCTTCCTCAGGCGGCAGCTCAGGTATGAGAAGGAGACTCACAGGGGGCAGCATCACCCTGGCTCAGACGCTCCAGACCCCACAGGAGCCAGTGTTTCTTACAGCATCAGCCTTGTGGGGTTCCTTCCAGGGTCCTCCAAAGGGACAAGAGTCACTGCACAGAGAGAAGCCCAGAGCTATGGCTTCCCACCAGGTGCTCATAGTTCCCTAACGGAACTTCTAGGTCAGATGCAATGTACCAATGGGTCAGGGCTCATTTTTTACCATAAGCTGTGCTGCCTGGTAACGTAGCTGACAGTCAGTCCACTATTACCTAGTTTCTGCACTGACCAAAGGTTAGTCCTTTATCCTCATGAGGGAGTTGATTGCATAAAAGTTTGTCCAGGCAGCGGTAACAGCAAGTGCAAAGGCCCTGGGGTGGGAGGGTGCTTGCTGTGTTTGTGGCTGGAGTGGGTGAGCAAGAGACGAAGAGGCATATGATGTGATGTGATGTGATGTGATATGTTGAGGTCACAAAGATCCTAGGGTCAGATCAAGGAGGTGAGAGTGCAGGGTAAGCAATTATTAACAAAGGAATTAATATGTTTTCAGGCACTGATGATATCAACAGTTCAGTGACGTGACCCCTCCTGCTTTCCTGGCTGGAGCATCTGCATGCAGGTCAGGACAGGAGGAGGAGAAGGGAAAGGCCCGCGCCTCTCCCCACGGCTCACCTTTCTGTACACCAGGCCAGTGACGGCTGTTCGCAGCCTTATCTGCAGCACCTTGAGTCTGTACATGTGCTGCTGCTCGAACAGCGTTTGTAGGCAGGCGGCCAGGAACATCAGCACCGCGATCAGATAGCCCTTCCAGGCCGGGGCTGTGGCATCGCCAATGAACTCCAGGAAAAGGCTTATGGGAGAAGGAGGGAGAGGCAGAGCTGGTGAGAGAAGGCACCCGCGGGTGTTGCCTGTGCCCAAGCCTGGCCAGGTCTTGGAGGACCAGATGGTGTGGCAGATTTTATTTTCAGAAGGGACTGTAATTATTTTCCCCACTCTCTATGCTAATGTGCAAAGCGAGCTGCGGCAGCTCCACTCAAGAGCAGTGACGTTTTTATCCCCACCTGTGGTGGGCTGAGTTGTACCCACACAATTCCTGTGCTGAAGTCCGAACCCCCAGCACCTCAGAATGCAACTGCATAAGTTAAAGTGAGTCTGCCCCGGTAAGCCTTCATTCGGTATGATTGGTATCCTTATAAAAGGAAATTTGAACAGACTTGGGGTGCACGTGCACTAACTGAATTGCTCACCACATTATCGTAAGTAAATAAGTGGTTTAAAGCCCTTCACTTTTGGGGTGTTTTGTTATGCAGCAAAAGCTAACTGATACAGTCAGGTTAGTGGGCACTCACTGTCTCTCCCCAAGGTCAGTCACCTTCTCATTTGCTTTGGTCCTTCTCAGTGTCCTTTCGCCCACCCTCCACTTCCCTGAGCAGAGGTCTAGGTGGAGGCAGGAGAGCTAAAGCCCCCCGGCCCCAAGGACCACCAACCGTAGCAAGGCACCCAAGGCTTGAACTCACCTGAGGAGCTTGGGGACAGTGAACCTGAAGACGTCACTGATGACAAGGCTGAGGGTCCCCAGGAGGAAGGTGGAGCGGAAGACCTGCCAGAGGGCCCTCAGCAGCGGGCCCCTCACACTCCCTCTTGGCTGCAGGAAGGCCTCGGCCTCTGCGGGCTCCCCACCACGGCGGAGGCTCCCTTTCCTCTTAAACACGGCTGCTGCAGTTTGCCTTAGGGGAGAAGAGACATGGCGCTGGGTCCTTGAGTGGATTGAGTATGTTTCCTCAGGTTTATATGTTGGAATCCTAACCCCCAATGTAATGGTATTAGGGGATGGGGCCTTTGGAAGGTGGCTAAATCCTGAGGGTGGAGCCTTCATGAATGGGATTAGTGACCTTATCAAAGATCCCAGAGAACGGCCTTGCCCCTTCTGCCCTCTGAGGACACACAGAGAGGACAGTGTCTCTGAATGAGGAAGTGGCCCTTGCCAGACACCGAATTTGCTGGTGCCTTGATGTTGGACTCCCAGCCTCCAGAACTGTGAGAGACAACTTTGTTGTTTATAAGCCACCCAGTCTATGCTACTAGTACTTTGCTAGCAGCCCCAATGGATGAAGACAGTCCTTTTCCATATTTTCAGGGGTGGCAGCTGAGCTGTCAGCAGCAGGACCCAGCATTACAGGATTCATTCTCAACCAGGGGGTGGGTGAGCACAGATCCAGCCTCCCCTCCTCCCCTGTTCTTCCTTATTCCCCAGATCACCCCTTTCCTTATCCCCCAGATCACCCCCTTCCTAATCCCCTAGATCACCCCTACCTCATCCCCCAGATCACCCCCTTCCTAATCCCCCAGATCAC